GCCCTTGGGGCCACAACAAACATCTCAGCAAAAGACTCCACACGTCATCAAGTTCTTACAGTGCCGTGGTACTCCTGCAATACTGTACCCAGAAGGGCTCTTCAATTCTTCGTGATTCGCGATGACCTTGTCGCCACCTTACCTTCAGCAATTGGAGTGGTCATGAAAGTGCATCCAGCCTTTTTGTATCTGAAGAAGGCCTTATGTAAAGCTTTACTTTACCTGTGCCCGCTGTATCCTGGTCTTGTGCCGTGTCAATGCCTCCACTCACTCCCTCCCTCCCCCGTGAATACCAGGCCTTGGTGCGCAGCTTGAAATACTGATTGCTACAGCGGTCCTGCCTTGTTTCGCTGCAGTATCTTCCACAGTAATTCCCAGTCTGACTTGACTACCCCAACAAGTACCTTGCCCTTTAATTGCAATGGCCGCACGCGACCTTAGTCGGGCAATGACCGCACCCGTGCGCGCCACTCCCATAGCGCATGGAGACGAAGACGGTGTGCTAAGTCTGGACGTTGACGATGAAAGCAGCATGCCAACCCTCAAGCAGACGCAGTCATATCACCGCGCCAGTGCAGCTAATTTCAAAAACCTGCCTCCGCAACCGAGAAAGGACTATCGAAGAGTAATCATATCTCACGGAGAACTCTCCGACCTCGATATCGAGTCGTGCCGAAAGATACGACGTGCCATCGACCTACGCGAGCAATGGCTTTACTTTCGGGAACAGCCCGAATGGCTAGACTACGACAAGCCTCGTCCCTCCAAATATAGCGTCTTTAACCCCCCGCCCTACGACCCGTTTGATTCAGAGTTGAAGCCAGCTTCTGACCATGTATATCAATGGAGATTGGGTGTCGTGAGTGTATATGCGGACAGGCAGAGCGTTATGGGGAGGCAAGCCCAATTTCAAGGCGCACGGTTGGAGGACTTTGCCATGGATTTGGTGGAGCTCATGAAGATTATGAACGACCCTGAGTGCCGATCGTTTTGCCATCGACGAATCATGTTGTTGCTGGAGAGGTTTAATATGTATCGCATTCTTAATGATCAGCAGGAGAGGTTGGCTCAAATTGCTGTTCCCCACAGGGATCTGTACAATGTTCAAAAGGTAGACGTCCATGGTACGTGAAAGATCTGCGCGCAGAAGTGATGCGAAGCGCTCCCTATAGGACATAGGACACTGTACTAACTGCAGGTGCTTTTCCCTCAAATTCGCGATGAAAGTCCACCATTCTTCAATGGCAAACCAGAAGCAGTTCTTGCGGTTTATCAAGCGAAAGGTGAAAACATGTGGAGATGAAAAGGTCCTAGAAAACAGGGAAGACCTCACGAAAGAACCACTTACTCTGCACGAAGTCTTTAAGTCACTCAATTTAACTCCACATGAGTTGAGTGTGGATACATTGGATGTCCATGCAGACAATAGCACGTTTCATCGGTTCGATCGTTTCAATCTGAAATACAATCCATTCGGACAGTCTCGACTGCGCGAGATTTTCATGAAGACCGATAACTTCATCAAGGGTAAGTATTTGGCCGAACTAACACATGAAGTGTTTAATGAGCTACAGGAGACAAAGTACCAAAACAGTGAATATCGTATTAGTATATACGGGAGAGATTCAGAGGAATGGGACAAGCTTGGCGTTTGGTTTGAAGACCACAAGCTGTACAGCGATAATGTCAGATGGTTGATCCAAATACCTCGTCTGTATAGTACGTACAAGGAGCAAGGCATGGTGAACTCGTTCCAAGATATGCTTGACAACATTTTCAACCCCATTTTCGAGGCCACTGTCGACCCGTCGTCACATCCACAAGTAGCGCGATTTTTGCAGCAAATGGTTGGATTTGACTCGGTCGATGACGAAAGCCTGCCTCAGGTGCGAACTAATTTGAGCAAATGTGGGCCCCCGGAAGCATGGGTTGGTCCTGACAACCCCCCATATAGTTACTACTCGTTCTATATCTATAGCAATCTGGCTGTGCTGAACCAGCTTCGCGAATCAAGGGGTATGAATACATTTTCATATCGACCACACGCAGGGGAAGCTGGGGATATCGAGCATCTGGCTACGTCATTCCTACTTGCACATGGCATTAACCATGGGCTCAAGTTGAAGAAGAGTCCAGTTCTGCAATACCTATTCTACTTAACTCAAGTCGGCATAGCGATGAGCCCACTGAGTAACAATGCATTATTTTGCGAGTACACAAAGAATCCACTGCCATCGTTCTTCCGATGTGGACTGAACGTTGCACTCTCAACGGACGACCCATTGCAATTCGCTTTCACTCGCGAGCCTTTGGTGGAAGAATACTCGGTGGCAGCTCAAGTATGGAAATTGTCCTCCACAGATCTATGCGAGTTGGCGCGGAATTCTGTTTTGCAATCCGGGTTTGAACCGTGTATCAAGGCCAGCTGGCTTGGGGAGTCGTGGTACAAAGCCGGGGTTGACGGGAACGATATTTCTAAAACCAATGTGCCATCGATTCGGATATGCTACCGACACGAGACACTTGTCGATGAACTACAGATGGTGTACGCTGGAGTTGTTCCCGATAACATCCAATCCCTGCCAACGTTTCAGTATCGAGGCACGGATGACGGAAAGGCACTGAACGGAACTTCGGCCTCGTTTGCTGTACTGACGATGCTCTCCGATACCGAAAGTGATTAGCAACGAAGCAGCAGACACGTGGGCACGGTGAGAATATGGTGGAGACACCGTACAGACAGGTCGTGGCGGAACGAAAATAGATGAATAAGTGTTCATTATGTGAAACGTCGGTGTTGCTTTGCGTGGCGTCTATGTTGATAAGTATGCCATGGATGTTGGGCATGTAGTATAGTGTTGTACTGCAGACTGAACCTTAAGAGCAGAAACAAAGAGAGGGCGTGGATGAGCAGATTGTAGTCGGTGGGGAATGGGTACGTGTCGTTGTCGCAGATGAATCGTGAGCGGGAGTGGCACGTACTGTACCACGTGAAAAACAGAAGGGCAATACAGTAAACTGGTGCGCTGTACAGCGCACCTCGACGCCCATCTGCTCGCGCTCTATACCGTAATAACCTGAGTCTGCTCCCCAGCCCATCAACGTCACATCGACATCAGCGAAATGGGCACGAGGCCGGTCAAGAGCAGACCAGTGGTGAAAACGTGTGTGATGAGAATGCAGCACGGGTGCTGTATGGCATGCGGAGCTGGAGGCAAGGCCGTAAAATAAACTCGAGACGATGTACAGCGAGGGGAAATAGGGGCGCCCGAGGAATTTGGGTGGAGTCGTGGCCGGATTTCAGCTGCACAAGACGCAAACTTAGGGGGAAAGTGTGCGGACCAGTTGGTCGTGGGAAAAGAGCCCCTATCCCAGCCAAGTGGGGATGGCTGATGATTTGAAATAAAAGTGTGTCCTTGTGGAAGTGGGGGCGCTGATGGATGTTGCGAGAGAGAGAGAGAGATTGTGTAATTTCTGTTTACGAGAGATGAGGCGGAGATCTGCGGTAAGATCCTTTATTGTAATTAGTGTGCTCATACAGAGTGAATGGTGCGGCGAACACTTGGAAGATTTACGCTAGAGCGCCTTTCTCTACGCGCGGCAACGCTCTCCCAGTGTCGACTCGACGCGGATTTGATGCAAAGCGCGAAGAGTTACAGCTTGTATTGCTCTTCTTCGCCAGGGCCAGTGGTGCGATCAAAAGCAGAGCACGACGAAATGCTCTCTCCAATCGATATCAAACTCGGAAAGGAGCATGACCTGTGCATGTGCCCGACCTTCTTCACTGCGAATCACGGCCACATACTGCCGCCGACTTGGTTGGCGGCAGCCATTTCGGCAACGTGTGTGCTTGAACCGGTTGGAAAACACTTGCACTTGGCGCTCATACGCCTAGGTTTCGGCCAGGCTCATACAGCCTCAGCCTCATCAGCAACTCCGTATCCCTGCTTACTCTCTCCCCCTTTGTCCTTTGTTGCACAACGATTCGTCGACGCAATTACACGCCGATCCATAGGCACGGCGGTACAAGATGCCCTGCGGGAACCCCAGTTCCAACATCCTCATCGTGAAGCCACTTTTCCCGGCGCCATGCCCTCATTTCGGATGAAAAACTCTGGCGCATTCATACATGCCCATTCCTTCGCGCAATGCAGCCAATCCCTGCGGACGCTCAAAGTCGTCATACAAAGCCAGGAATCGGCAGAAAAGGTCCGCACGGCGCCTGCCGTGTCCCCCTCTGCGTCCACGTCGCCCCACCTCCATTCTTTTAACGCCTACACTCCAGGATAAGTACTGTCGGCGCTTTAAATCTCCACACGACATACAGGACACCACCTACATATAGTACCCTTGGTACGCAAGGTGCTGCAGGGTGCTGTGCGACGGTTTGCAAGTCGTTGGCAAGGAAACGGAATTCCCCCCCCCCTCCCCCCCGCGTATGTGCAAGTGCCGTGGGCGACTTGGCTATTACTGCCTGAGTTTGTAGCTGCAACGTATACGGCACGTGGGTATAGACGGGGCAAACCCTTAGAACGTGCAGCCGTGCTAGGAACATAAATAGGCGGCCAGGTAGGGGATGGGAGCTGGAGTGGCCTTGTTGCGGTTACGGTAGGAGGAGGGCAGTAGCAATGTCTTTTTAGACTGAGCCGACAGAGCCGTTCCTTACTCGCAGTCCACCACATGAGAATCGTATCGGGTTGTCAAGAGACTCAAACCTGTACTGACGATATCGCTGCGCTCTCGGGTTGCAAAAATGGAGGCAGAGCTCATTGCTGCTTGTAGTATGGGCTCAACTGAGGGCAAGGACGAGTGGATGTCTGCCACTATACCAGTACAGTGGCTACCGAGATGTAGTTCACATACTGTACGTGCAAGCAGGCCCTTTGTGCATATATTTGTGCTATACCGGGGCAAGCAGGATGCCCTCACCTCTGTAATTAGTACTTACACAACAGTCCTGCTTACAACGCCTAAAATGAAGTCACTGGCTAGATTGTGTTTATCATATCTTATGGGTGCCAGGCAGTTCTATGGGCACTATACGGCGCCATTTCTTATACCGAGTTGCACTATATCAGGGTGGCCACTGTATCAGGGCGGTAGAGTATCAGTATTGTGTTGGAGCGGGCGGCAAAACATAGCCAGGAGCCAAAATCCGCGCAGCGACAAGCGCACATGCTAGTCTTTTGAAGTGGCAATTGGGGGGATAAAAATAACGTCTACTTCTCCTCACCGCCGTCGCTCCACGGGATTATGGCGTGATGGCGAGACCGAATCACAAGGCGCGAGGGTGAGCCACGTGCACAGGGGCTTGGCGATGTGGTGAATGTGTTGTGTGTATCATGCTGTCTCCCAGGGGGTGCATGAAGAGGACCGAGAGTTACGCTCGTCGGTGTTGCAAAGCATGTAGAGTCCAACAGAGCGTAGGACATTTTCTCTCGCTCTCTCAGCGCCATAGCGTGGTGAGATATGTCGGCTGTACTGTATCGAAAGAAGTGACTGTTGAATTCAATCGGAGTGTGGGGGCGGTGTGTGCGGGAGGAAGAAGCAAAGTCATGAGACACGGCAGGAGGCATTGAGTATGATCCGGACGTTTGCGGGGGGGGGGGCGGGGGAGGGTGTGACGTCCATACAGAGGCTGCAGGCGAGAAACAAGGAGGGGGGAGGGGGGCGTAGAGGTGGCCGAAGGATTGCATTACAGTTGTGCGAGAGTGGACGACGTCTCCGTTAAGCGGGGCGAGAAAGTGCATTCCGCCCCCGGGTACAGATAGATTAGGCACTGTAAGGGTTCACGAAAGAGAGGCTCCGCCAGTGGCTGTGCGGAATGCCTGCTCCGTGGACGCCGACGCATCAACATTGGTGGAAAGCGCAAGGGCTTCGAAATGTGTTCACTTCTGACAAGGACGACTGCCTGCAACGTGTAACGCGTTGAATGGCTCTCGAGACAAGACACTAATTGGAGGCAGGAGAGTCGTGCAGGAGTGGGAGGCGGGATCACTGCCAGGCACGACTGCGTCTGCTGTGCACCCCCTTGCACGCACCAAACACAAAAAATTCAACTCACACGGGACAGGAGCACCCGAAGGAGCTGAATCCTCACTTACGCCCCTGCTCGGCCTACGTGTAATTGAGGCAATTCATCGAAATCATCTCGCTGCCCCGCAGCCCTCGTCACCCTCCCTTCTCTTGCGACTCTCTCTCTCACCTCTGCCCCCCCTCCTGTGAACAAAACTCACAACCGAGTCTCACCTAAGCAGAGCAGTCCTGCTGGTCTTTGCCTTTGGCACACAGCTGGGTCGCGGCGAACCGCCTGCCGACACCGCGCGTGTGCTGTCGCAGATGGTCGATATCATCTCGGTGCGTACCTTTTCTCACGACATGCTGGAACGCTTCGCCGAGATCGCCACGGTACCGGTCATCAACGCCCTGACCGATCTGCTGCACCCCTG